CAATACTTTAGGAGTTAACATGTGATCATTGTTTGTTCTCAAGTGACATTTAAGCTGATTTTAATGATCAAGATGGATTTCCAAACAAGTCACAAGTGGATGGAATGGAAGCCCAGAATATGAACAAGGGAACAAGTTTGTGAGGTCTGAAAGCTGCTATTTACCTGCCAGCTGGCTGAAGCCGGTCAAAACCAAACCGACGGCTAAACAAAGCGAAGAAGGATTGGAAGAGATACCATGCCCGCTGGCAGCTCCAAGAAAGTCCCGCCTCCTAACTCAACATCTAAGAACTTTGGTAATGGAGTTTGCTCTAGGGTGTTCTGTATCCCAGTCGTACTTGATTTGGAAGCAGTTTCCCCACACATGTTGAGAGACAGCAAACTGGGTTAAGAATGAACGTTAGGCTACCAAGAAAAGCATACAATAAAATCTAGATTTTGGTGTTTAATTTCTGCATTTTATATGTACACATATATAATGTTATGCTACCAACACACGCACATGTATACATGGGTCACAATCGGGGGGACACATTTTGTAGTGTATTTTAACGATCCAATCGTTTATCTTGTACATCTTAAAGATCATGTCTACCAAAAATACCTAAATTCGAAACTATATGACCATTAAATTAAACAATCATCATTTTAGCGTTTTTTTGCAGTCGTATTTGTCCATTTTCTTCGTTACAAAACGTGTGTATGTGTGTGTCAAAAAATGAGTAAAAAAGTTACAAAGTTGATAAGGCCAGTTGAACAAAATAGTATGCTTAGTGCTCGACACCAAGTTCAAATGCCATAAAGAGTGATTGTGCTCTAAAGTAGTGTATTTAGCAAGTGAACAGTTGTGCTAAATTTAAATAGTGATTTTTCATTTTGCTATAATAGAATGTCTTTTACAATATCATTTGGAGATGAATTTTTTTAAATTAGCTCTTTAAAATATAACTTCTGTTTAAAAAAAAAAAAAAAACAACTGCAACTTTAGTTATTTTACAGCATCTCTTGAACAAGAGATGAAGAGATGTCGTAAGCACTTACATGATGATGTTACAACTGGGTTCATACAGTGTAAATGAAACATGTGAGATTATATTATATATGTTAATTAATTTAAAAACCTACTCATTCTGTGATCTCATCGATTAAGTCACTATACTTATTTGCACACAGCTTCAATAATTAGTGTAGTTTTTTAATTTATGTGAAACAACGTCCTTGATTACGAGAGTAATTAGTGTAATTTTATAGGGAATAGGATCTTCGTGGGATTCTTTCTGGGAATCCTGATGATCTTGTAATCGTCTTCATTCGGTCGTACATCGTGCCGTCAGTTTTCGTTAGGTATTATTTATATTTAATTTTAAATTTAAAATAATTTATAACTGCACGATATACGATAAACGGATACGATTACAAAATTCCTTGGATCCCAAAAAAAGGATCCGTCCTAAACCAAATTTATTTTTTGGATGGTCTGGATTAAACTAAACCCACTTGTTAATATAATACCATTAAGCACTCTAAAAGAAGCACTTGATGACCTCATGGATTAGGACTTTGCCTTATTCACTTCCTCCCCTCCTTTTTCCTGAAATCTAATCAATTAAAAAGATGGAGACTGGGGAATTGAAATTTCTGACCGTTGGAAAATTTTCACTATTATCTAATTCTAGCGTGCCCAAGAAGCAGTGTAGAGATTTAAAATAACCAAAACAGGCCAAAACCATTGCATTGCCTCGTTCACTTCATCAAATGTCCCTAATAGTATACTATTAAGACCAACTCTAATGAGTAAGTTAAAACTTAAAATTAAGTTTTAAACCCAAAGATTCTACAATCATTTGGTCAAAAAAAGGTTTCACGTTGAAAGTAATTTTTTTTGCCAAATTTAACTTAGAAAATTAGCCAAGGTTAGTGGTTGGGACACAACAGTGAGACTCAATTGTTTACTCTGTCAGCCACTTGCAAAAGAACCAAAGACCATTTTTTTATAGGACAATCCACGTGGTTGGAATCAACCAACAATCCAGATTCAATTTTAAAAAAAAAAAAAAAATCAAAATCATAAATACATTAAATTCAATGGTTGAGATTGAATATAAGCAAACCTATCAAATTTAAATCCAACAACTAAAACAACTAAAAAAATTGTATACATAAAATTCATCAAAAAACTCTATAAATACTTGTGTATTTGTTCAAATATCCACACAAAATTCACTTCCGTCAAACAATTTTTCTTTTTCTTCTTTCTATGCACCTATATATTTGTGTTTAAGAATGGGGTAGGCCCATGGTGGTTTAACCATACAAGGTCTACTGAGTCTATTTAATTTTTTACAGTATTCTAATGGTTTCTGTATTATATAATTAGAGTAATATTATTCATACCATGTTTTTGTACCACATTTTCATACCACCTTAGGTGGCATTTCATGTGGATAGCCATATCATTTGAATTAATTAGATTTTTAAATTTAGTTCATTATTTAATAAATTAATAATTAAGAAAAATTAGTTAATTAAATGATTATTGTGGTATACGAGAAGTCTTTCTCCTTCATTTCCTTGGGTTTTGCAAAATTTTCAAAAGATATGACTGTCCACATCAGATGTCACCTAAGGTAGTATAGAAATGCGGTATAAAAATACGGTATGAATATCATTACTCATATAATTATGGATATCGCTATGGTGACTAAAACAAAATTTGCACACTAAATGGTGTGTCACCAGTAAAAATGAGAACTTTTATCAATGTTTAAGTAATAAATCAATCATCAACTTCCATATAATTTGGTTTGCAAATTTTAAGATACAAATTTAATCGCCCTAGCATTATCCTACAAACTTTTTGTATAATATAACGTGGATAATCTCAGTAAGCCTTGTATGATTTGTCCTTGCGGCCAGCTAGTTAATTGTATTTTGGGGACAATGATCCTCTCTGGATCCCTTCCACCTAATCCTTTTCATCAACCAATTCGGGCCCTTGAAATTTGATCCAACGGCTAAAATTATTATAACATTTAGAGTGGGCCCGTGTTTTTAGCCGTTGGATCAAAATTTAAGGACTCGGATTGTTTGATGAGGAGGATTAGGTGGAAGGGATCCGGAGAGGATTAGGTGGAAGGGATCCGGAGAGGATCCCTTTCCGTATGTTGGTATCTTGCTCCTAGGCTCCCAGCTCACCAAGAAAGGAGCAAGCAAAAACAAACATTAAACATGGCACTACATATTGTGCTTAGGATGTTCGCTCTCTTATCCTTTGTATACTAATTCGCAATTATGAGAGAGAATTTAAGTTAAGGAGGAATTGAATTAAGGAGAAATGAGAATAAGGAGAAGGTGGTGTGGTAGGGCTGTCGGGGATCTGTTGGGGTGGGTTGGTAGTGTGTCTTGGCAGTCTGGAAGGTGGTGCGGTGGTCTGTGTTCTAAGGGGCAGGGATGGTTTGTGTTCTAATCGTGGGAGGCAAATGGAATGAGCTACATCTGAAAGGTAATTTCTTCCAAAATTCAAATACCTCATCCAAGTTAGTATTCGGGGAATATCAAGGGTTTGATTACTAGTGTTGGATGGAGCCCACTACTTTTTTCATTTCCAAATTTAGTAAACACGAAAATCACTTGAAGAATTTGATTTCCTTTCTTCTACCTCAATTCCAGTTTTGTAAACACGCCATGAGAACTTCCGCTTGCTGATTAACAGTAGCATATAATCTTGCCGATTTAACTACTTAAATGTATGCAAGATTGTCATCCTTATCGTCTACAAGCCAAATGATCTTGCTTTTGAACAAATTTAACACATAATCTTTCTCCTAGGTTTAGGATTTGTCTTGATCTATAAAACCATCTTCAACCGATCCGGCTAGAGGGTTATTGGACTAAAAATAGCTCAAAATGACATGAAAACCATCTCACGACCGAAGGTTAGGCCAAAGGACTCGTGGGCCCACTGGGCCAAAATTGTACAATCAAGCCAACCGGATGGCCCAAACCAGCCAGCCAGCCACGGGCCTGCCCAACATTTAAACCCCAACGGTTACCTGGTGTTAGCATGACGCCATCTAGTAACGGCTAATTGACGTCATGCTGATGCCAAATGATCGTTGGATTTGGTTTTTTTTTTCTTTCTTTTTTTTTTTGGGTCAAAATAAAAAAAAATCTAATTTTTTTCCTATAACTACCTAAGCCATTAAACAACATTAAACAATATTAAATAACATTAAACTTAAACAATATTAAACAACATAATCTCTATAATAGAGATGATATCTTCATATATTGGCAGACCCTACTTCTGTTCAATAAATGGTACAAATTATAGTACAAATAAATGGTAAGTATAGCATTTGACCATCGCCTTTCACGCTGACCACCCAAAAGCCACCCACCTCTATTGCCACAATGTGATTCCACTGACGTTCTCCATCTTTTCTCTCTTTTCCACTTTTTCTTTCTCATGTTATCTCTCGTTCTTTCCCAGTCTTATTCGACTTGGAACCAGATGGATGGCTGGATACACCTTAGACTTGTCACCGCCGACCTCCGATTTAAGATCCTTTCCGTATGTGTTGCTGTCGACCTCGAGTTAAGACCCTTTCAGTTTAATTGACCAAAACCCAAATGTTTATATAACTACCATTTTGAAGGAATTACGTTATCTAAAAATTATGACACTGCCCTATTTGAAATTGGGAATGAAAGTACCAAAAAAAAAAAAAAAAAAAAAAAAAAAAAAAAAAAAAAAAGGGAAAAGAAAAAGAAAAAAAAGGTTCCTGTCAGATACCCTCAAAATTGACCGCTTCTTGAAAGCCATCATGCACCTTCCATCTTCTATTAATTTGTCATAATACTTTGCACCTAATAAACAATCTTTATCAAATGGCCATCTTGGTGTGATTTGTCAACTTCTACTTATACCCAATTAGTCACGTGCCCAAAACCCAATATAAATTCAAGAGTGAGGATTCACTAGTTTCACTTTACTAGGCCATGGAAAGAGGCGGCAAAGATAAAGAAGAGGGACAGAAAGATATAAAGTATAGAGGTGTGAGAACAAGGCCGTGGGGGAAATTCGCAGCCGAAATACGTGATTCGACGAGGCAGGGAGCTCGGTTGTGGCTTGGCACCTTCAACACTGCTGAAGAAGCTGCAAGGGCTTATGATAGAGCTGCTTTTTCCATGAGGGGTCCTCTTGCAATCCTCAATTTTCCAAGTGAATATGATTTGAAAGATGCTGGTCAGTCTGCTGCTGCTGCTACTACTTCCTCGTCAACTTCTTCGTCTTCATCTTCTTTGTCGTCGTCGTCGAGACCCCATAATGTGACCAGGACGGAATCCGGAAGAGAAATCTTCGAGTTTGAGTGTTTAGATGATAGTGTTTTAGAGGACCTTCTTGATTTTGACGATCGTACCAAAACTAATGAAGAAAAACAAATTAAGTAGCATTCTTTAGTATTCTGGTTCTGTAAATTTAAGCACCCAAATGGTTCCACACTCCACTATTACAATGTGCCTTGAGATTTTCTCAGTTGTTCCATAAACAATGCAAATGTAACCCGAGTTTCTTTGTTCCGGCGGCGGTGTGGGTTTTGAGTCGTTTAGATGAATGATATAATGAAAGACTGCTTCCGTGTGAGTACTAAGAAAAGAAGATGACATGTGTTATCAATCTATTGATCAACTATTATAGTGTTTCTTCTGGGTCTTAAATCCAACAATTACTTTTGTTACCATACAACGTTGTTTTACACTAACAGGTACACTTTATTAGGCACAGTCACACAATAAATCAAACATAATTTGATATTAAATTTGCCTCTCGCAAGTAGAACTCAAACCTAAAACCTACACGTGACTACACTATATTTGAAGCCTTAATGTCATAAATATAATTAAGACCTATTTGTAGCTACGTTCCTTATAACTCGATTAATATCACTTTGCCTTTATAACTCGAAAGTTTCCACTTTACTTCGTGAAACTCAAAATTCGCTCCATTTTGCCCACTAGGACTTGATTTTGATACCATTTTGCCTCGTGAAACACAAAAACTGTTGTAACGTCTCATCCCCGAAATATTTATTTTCGAGAAATTATTCTAATGATAGGCCCAATTTAATACTCTTGTTTAATTTACTACCATTACACATTATTCTTTAATTAAAGTTCCTTAATTACTCACAAAAATGTACCACCAAAATTACTTATAAAAAACATACGTTTAAATTTTTAATTTAACACCAATTTTTTCTCTTCACTCTAGTTCCCAACAAGAGGTCAAAACTCGATTATTTAAGGCTGCATCTGACCTGTTAGACTGCCTACGTACCATTAAGCAAGATCAAACCTTTCGTAGTTCACCATTCATCCTTTTATCCATTTCTGAAAATACTCTAATAACGAAAATATTCAACATTAGTTTTCACAATCGAATCACACCAAATGGTTACCAAATACGAGTTTTAAAATATCAAAATCTGCATGATACGACAAGGTCGGCCCACTGGCCACGCGCCGCCGCACGCGCCGCGGGTGGCAGTCGGCTGCCCCAACTCGCCTGAAAAATTTAACTATTTCCAAAAATAATCAAATTTTACAGGAAAGTAGATCTCAGTGAGGGGAGAAATTTTCATACCTGTGGCCAAGTCCAATTCGGCCGGGAAACTCCTCAAATTGCCCACAAACGGCCGGAAACCCTTGAAATGGGTGGCTTCGATCCGTCACCTCCGGTGCTCCGCCACCCCCAAGGTTGGTTGGGCTTTGTTCTCTCCCTCACCAGGAGTTGAACTATGGTGGTAGTCGACCGTGTTACTTTCCCAAATGGCGGAATTGCCGCCGTCCACCCCGTACACCCACCGGTGCGGTTTTCACAAATACCAAGCCAATTTTCATCAAATTTGGGGTGGAAATGGTAGAGGGGAGGTTGGTTAGGTGTTTGGTAGAAGTGTTAGACCGTGAATCGCCGGAAAAATGGGCGGAAAACCCGTCGGAAAATGCTCTCTACGCGGGTCGGGTCGCGGTTCTTCAAAGGACCCGATTCCCCCTTTTTGTTTCTCTCCTTTCCCCTCCTTTCTCTTCTTTCTGATTGGTCCTTCTCCCCCTCCTTTCTCTCCTTTCTCTTCCTTCTGATTGGTCCTTCTCCCCCTCCTTTCTCTCCATTCTCTTCCTTCTGATTGGTCCTTCTCCCCCTCCTTTCTCTCCTTTCTCTTCTTTCTCTTCCTTTCTTTTCATCTCAGCCGTCCACGTGTCATCATAGATAATGGCTTTAAACGTTAATAACTCTTTCGTTATAATTCCGTTTCACTAACGGTTTGCACTTACATGTTCGTGAGATCGAGTTCTATTAAAAATATAAATCGTGACCTCGAACGGTCTACGAATTTTTAATAATTAATTTCCAAACTTCACTCTTTGTAACTAGTTTAATTAAAATCTAAATTCAAATGAATTACTATAAATTCTCGAAAAATAATATAAAATCTCAATAATAGAAATACATAAATTATGATAATTTCCGGTAACAAAATTTTAAAATTCCTCAATTAAATTTTCATAACCATAAATCGATTTATTTTCGATTTTCTCCATATATTCATAATTATGAATATTCTATTTCATATATTTAAATTTCAGGGTATTACAACTGTCATTTTACTCTATAAAACTCAAAATTGCTCACATTATCTTAATTATGTTAATTCCGTTATGTGTGATTTGATTTGGATGCACAAGGCTAATCAATTTCTTTTTTATTTTATATTTTTTATCTCTGCAACTCAAGCACAACAACCCAAAAAAATTTCAATTCTTAATTTCTTCTTTTAAACTTAATATTTCTTATTTATTGTTGAATGTTAACGCATAGCGAAAATTTATAATCAAATTCATTGGTGCATGTGCATTGGATATGTTTCATAGGCCGACTTTTGAGTTTCAAAGAGAAAAGAGATTTCACAAGTCAAGTGGAATGAATTTTGAGTTTGAGAAAGTAACGTGGTGACTTTTGAGTTACAAGCGGCAAAGTAAAATCAAAATCGAATTTCAAGGGACATAGGTAAAAATAAGTCTATAATTAAAATCAAAAGTTGGGACTCTTTTAATCATCTCTTCGCATGTACCTGTAGTAGCGTTTAACTAAAGCCCTTTGATTTCACCCATTTCAGTCTGTGATGTATAAATTGCTATAGAAACTAGAATAGTAGAGTCACTTACTAAGAATGTCTAGTGATATCCCTTCACTTGTAAGTGAAAGATTTTAAGTTCGAATCTCGTGGATGGCGAGTTCGATATCAATTTATTCCCACCAATTAATGTGAATAGAAATGTTAGGGAGACCACATTTTTATATCATACTTCTGGACCATATGATGTGGCAAGTGATGTATAAAAGATACAAAACAAAATAGAAATGCTAGGGAGCCCACATTTTTTAATCATATTTCTGGACCATATGATGTGGTAAGTGGTGTGTACATGTCATGTCAATTAATAAACTTATTTCATTGAATATCTGATGGTATGCATCACTTGTTACATGTGACCGTACACCAATATAATATATGTAGTCTCCCTAACATTACTTTAATAAAATTACATACAAGGGTTTTTGTGTCAGGACTTAGAGCATCTTGGATCATACTAACTATTTTTATATTAGGGTGTATTCAATTGAGAATTTAAAAGACTCTAATGAATTTATAAATTTATAAATTTATGAATTTTTATGGAGTTTAATTGATTCGTAGAGATTTCATATAAAATTTTGATTCAATTCCCTCGAAATCTCATGAGGAAATGTGAGATTTGTGGATGCTTAAAATACACTACTAAATCTCTCTAATTCCCTCTAATTCCTCAACTTTCTCAAATTCTTGAAAATCAATTTCTAATTGAATACACCTGAAATGTTATAAACTTCTTTAAACTTCTAATTGAATACATCTGGATTTCTAAAGATTTTAATAAATTATCTTAAAATTCTAATTGAATACACCTAAAATTTCAGAGAATCACTTAAAAGAATACCCATAGATTTATTAAAAGAATTAAAATCCCTCAAAATCCCAATTGAATACACCCCCTAAATTTTAGCTAAAACAAAAAAAAAATTATTTTAGACTTTCTATTATCCCAACAAATTTTCATCTTAGACAACATACAAATGATAGTTTTATTAAGTTATTAACACACCACAATTCGTTGAATACATTTTATTAAAAAATTTAGAAAAATGTTAGAGATATCATATTTTTGTACTACCTTAGTCTACGATCTAATGCGACAAGTGGTGTGTGCTACGTCAGTTAATTATTTCATTGGATGTTAATTGTATGCATTACTTGCCATGGAGGATGTAGAGCGGCGACATAAATTTATCATTTTATTTTGTTTTTGTTTGACAATTTTCAAGAATTATCTTGAAGTTTGTTTTGATTTCTCTTTAGGGAGAGTTTGCTAGTTTGATTTCTCTTTGCAGGTGAGTTGCTTCATTTTAATTTTTTTTTTTGGTTTACATCTCTTTTGGATCTATGTGTGAAGGGTGGAGCTGTTTGATTGTTTTAGATCTACTTCACTTGGTGCTCTAAGATCGTGGCGGCTCATGGGCATCGTACTCACTGTCCCAATTTGATTTGAGATTTTTGTTCTCACATGATCGCTGTATAACACGAGATTTAATGATTTTATCGATCTATGCAATCTTGCAGTTCCTGATGAGCTCAACTTTCTACAAGCACTTGAAATCTACTCATTGTTTTGCGATTGGTGGTGCTGTATTGTAATATGTTTAGATCTAGTTTGTAAGAACTATTTTGGAATTGAATTCTTCATAATATATATTTAAATGCCCTTTTTTCAAGAATAATGTTTGGCTACTCAAAAATGACTAAGAACCCCTACTCAAAATTCTTTGTGTTCGAATCATACAACTTTGTGCTCATGATCAGAAACTATTCATATTATAAATTACTTTGTAAAGATTATCTTTACAAAAAAAAAATTAAAAACTAAGGTCGTTTTGTCAATCTATTATAGTAAATACATAGACGGTTCGTAAAGTTTTTACCAATTTTGTTCATTTGTTTTATACTATTCGATGACTAAACGATCTTAGTTTCAATTGATTTTTTGCAGAAGCGACCTTTATAGAGTGATTTACAATATGAACGGCTCCAATCATAAATACAAAGTTTTATAAATGGACCATAGGAACAAGGGGTTCTCAGTCCTTTGTCTAAGATGAAAATTTGCAATGCATCGGTTAGCAAAACCCCTGCTTTATCAATTGGGCAGCGCATTAGTTTGACACTACAATCTTCTTAAGACTATTCAATATCTCATCTTTCAAGATTATGATTGTACTCCGAATTAAATCAACCAAATAATAATTTCTTCGAAAAAAAAATCAACAGCAACAGTTGGAGACTATGGAACAAATTCAGATGATGCAAATTAAAAGTACCCCTTATTTTCAATTTTTTGGGGGTAAAGAGTTAAATAGGAAAAACCCGCTAAATATCAGTGAATTCTTTCCTTATTGTGTTGGTTGCCTCTGCCTATGATGATCTTCTTTTGTATCAAGAAGGTCCTCCAAGAGATTGTTGTCCAAATACTCAAACTCAATAACTTCGTCTTCTTCTTGGACTCTTCCAAAATTAATACTCCTTCCAGGGTCAACGCCCGGAAATAAAGATGACGAAGAAGCAGAAGATGAAGACGAGGATAAAGTGCTCAAAGAGCTTGAAGGGTTGTGATGTTGGTAGTCATTTGGAAAGTTGAGTATGGCTAAATGGCCTCGAAAGCCAAAAGCAGCTCGATCATAAGCCCTTGCTGCCTCCTCAGCTGTCTCAAATGTGCCTAACCATAGCCGTGCTCCATTTCTCGAAGGGTCACGAATTTCAGCTGCAAACTTACCCCACGGCCGCCTCCGAATCCCTCTATACCGGTTTTGATCTCGTACCTTCGGCTCCCTCTGCTGGTTATTATTCTCTGGTCCTCTCTTCCCCTCCATACTAATGTTTGTTTTTCCGACGGAAAAAACACTTTGATGTCAATTTTGATGGTAAAATACGGGTTGTGGCATGCAGGATATATAGTGCATGGTGGTGTGCTATAATAAATTAGTTTGGTCTAATCTGATAGGTGATGTGTTGGAATGTTTTCTTTGATTAGGAAGAAAAAGCAAATCACCATTTCGCCATGAAAAGCGCTTTGAGCATTTTGTGACGATATATTGACGTATTTTCATTTATTTTTATTTATATATAAAGAAAGTTGAGATTTTTTCCATTATTTCATAAAAGGTCTCTTCTTTTCTGTTGAATTCAAACTCTCAATACACCCTTTACGTGTGACGAGTTTTTAAACTCTCAATACGTGTCCTTAACACATGGGATAACATCCTCAGAGATCATGAACAAAATTAAGATTTTATTGAGAAACCAATTGGCAATATAAGACTTTCCAACCTCTTATAAGCCCTTGCAAGGTTTCTCCTTTCACCCATGTGGAACTCGTTTACCTTCACATCCTCACATGCCCTTACGTGTGGCGAATTTTCAAGCCAAACATGTAGACAACATAATTGGATGATGTGGAGCACGTGTGGTTGTTGGGCTTCACATGTGGATCAACCTATTCTGATACTGTGAAGAAAATTGAGATTCAACTATAAAACTATTGAAAATATAGAGAATAATCTAATTTCCTATAAGCACATACAAAGTCTTTATTATTTGATGTGAGATTCATATTCTCAATAATATATATTTTGATGAAAGTGATATACAAATGTATTGAAAATCAAATACCAAATTTGTGATACAAAGATAAAAATACGTTCTTATTCATGTGAGCTACAAGTCTTTGACCACTATTGTTTACTTGATCCGGTGGCGATTGGACAGGCAAAGCAAAAATTATGGAGGTGCATGCATTTATGGGAATTATTTTGATGTAATGTGTGAGGTGACGAGGGTTTTGATGGCTGGCCAGCCAGCCGGCAGAGTGAGGTCATACTACTCTATTGTCCTAGTGGTGGCCGGTGGGTGCCAAGCCGTCTTTGGCTTTACTTTTTAAGACATTGGTGGCCGTCAATGCCCCCTTGTAACGAACACTTTATAACCCTAATTAATAATTGTCCATATCCAGATTTTATTGACAAATCGAATTGCATACATATCAGGACCAATGTTAAGAAGCAATTGCAAACCTTTCACATGCACTCAGAAGACAGAAGCCCAAACCCACACTTGGAAGTTGAGATTAGCCCAACTTAATATGTTTAAACACTTAATTGTGATTGGTTTTTGATAAAGAAGTTAATTGTTAATTAAGTTGCAGCCCACCCCAAAAGCTTAGGAAAATATCTGACAAACCATACGCAAGTGATCCTACCCATTCTTGTAGTCACTATTGAGAGTGTAAATGACATATTGAAAAAAAAAAAAAAAACTTGCAAATAAGGAGAGTTGGGTTACGGCTTTCTCTATAACCAACTAGTTTTAGGGGTAAATATCAACTTTCTTTAGCAACACTTAAGTGTCTGAAGAGTTTCAGAGCATTGTTACTTACATGATATGAGAACATGAATGAATGAGGGATTAGGAGTGGAGATGTGAATGATTAGATATTGGATGAACAAATAACAATCTCCCTTATGTTTAGGATTCCTTCAATTTTTAGGTATTTCATACCCAAAATTAATTGGTCTCTAGGTGTTAATAAAAGAAGGATTGAGAATCAATACGCATTCATTCACATTTCCATACATGATAAGTAAACAGACTTTTACTTCTTACGAGCTTTCCAAGTGGCTACCTCAATGTCTCATTGGTATAAATAAATAGTCCTATTAAGGTTGTCCCTGGGCAAGGGTGACAGCTGCAATGGCCCAAGGAGAAGGACTTACATGGATAGGGTTCGTTGCTACATTGAATTTCTTGTCCAACAATGCATTATCATGTGCAAGTTTCTCTTCACATGACAATGTATGATTGGGTCAGGATGCCACATAGCTATGAACTCACTCCATGTAAGTTATTATCTAACCCAAGACCGTATCTCAAAGAGGGCTCCTAAATTTTTATCTATTTGTATATCTATATGAGAAACACAATTTAAAATCAAAGGTGTTATTTTTACCATCTATTTGTACTATCTCTCTAATGTAGATGAGACTCATATGCATTGGTAGACCATAACTCTATTAGAGAGATGGTACAACTGATAGGGTTCCAAGGGGAAAGGGGAAAAAAAGATGCAGAAGCCTCAAATTTGGGTGAGGAGAGCCGCAAAGGTGCTTGATTTCCACTATGGCACTAGTTCTCCTTGTTTTCCTATAAATTATTATTGTAATTATAATTGCACATTTAATCATGAAGAATCGTAATTGTTCAAACAATTCTTCCATCCTCCTCATCCTCCAACCACAACGAGATTTATTCTTGGCGTAGGTGACCGTAACATTATCCTTTGAAACACATATCTGCCCTTTCTTTGGACTCCCTACCACAGCAAACCCTTGTCTATGCTCACTCTGGCACATGCCTAGATGCCCTTATCGGTCGTCTTTGAGTGGCTTATGAAGAGCATAGGGTGTTGAAGTTTGTTTTGAATAATCAATTTGTAATTTTGGATTGAAGAATAAGAAAGATAAGCCACACAATTTATGTAAAAGGAAAACTTTCTATTCATTGTATGCGGCTGCTTAAATCATTGCAGAGCACATTACCAACATTCTCTTACATTCCTTTTAGCACAGAATCCAATCTTAGCCATACAAGGTGACACTTGGCTAATACAAGGACATAAAAGTATTACATAAGAGATTGAATCTAGACCTTAACCTTGTCCTATGAGAAAATGACATAAGCCAATAAAGAAATTTGAAAACAACTTAATGATCAACATTCCCTTCTAAGTTGTTTACTGATTTCACACCAATGAGTAAATCGACCTTTAGGAAGGGCTTTAATAAAGATATCAACAAGCTGATCTTCACTCTTGCAGTAAATAAGCTCAATCACATTCTATTGCAGAGCTTCTCTAATAAAATGGTACTTTCTGTTGATGTGTTTGGACTTTCGATGGAAGACTAGGTTCATGGTCATGGCTATTGTTGATACGTTGTCACACATAAGAGGGGTAGCTTCTGCCTGCATCTCTTCAAAATCCTCTAAAGCAAATCTCAACCAAATGGCTTGAGTTGTTGCCTTAGTTGCACTGATATACTCAACTTCTATAATTGAGAAAGCAACACTATGTTGTTTCACAGAAGCCTAGGAAAACACACCACTGGTAAATGTGAAAGCATATCCAAATGTTCTATTCATATCATCCTCACTCCCACTCCAATCACTGTCATAATAGTCAATAAGAATAGCTTGCTTCCCTTTCTCAAATTCAATTTCATAGTCAATGGTCCCTTGTATATACCTCAAAACCCTTTTGGTTATCTCAAGATGCTTCTTAGTAGAACAATGCATAAATCTTGCCAAGAGTGATGCATCAAACGTAATGTCAGTCCTAGTAGCAGTTAGATACAACAAGTTGGCCATAATTTGCCTGTAAACTCTTTCATCAGTTGAATCACTGCCATCATTTTTGCAAAGTTTCTCATTCGTAACCAGTGAAGTGCTTACTGGTTTACAACTTTTCAAGCCACATTTGCCAAGTAGTGATACAACATATTTCTTTTCCCCAATAAAGATACCATTCTCAGTTTGCAGGATTCTCATGCTAAGGAAATGATCAACAACCCCAAGTTAGTCATTTCATACCTATTCATCATATCAGACTTGAACTCTGTCATCAATTCTTTACGGTTGCCTATGTAAACTATGTCATCCACATACATTGTAATGATTATAATGACAGTGCCATCCTTGACCTTAATGTATAGAGTAGCCTCACTGGGGCTTTTTTCAAAATCACATTTGAAGAGATATGCATCAATTTCCTCATACCATTTCCTTGGTGCCTATTTCATTATACATTTTCTTTTGCATTTGTATCACAAAACCCTCAAGTTGGTCAACATAGACTTCCTTATGAAGGATTCCATTTAAGAAAGCAAACTTGACATCAAGTTGAAATATTTTCCTACCTTTCTATGCTGCAAGTGCTATCAATGTTCTAGTGGTATCCATTCTTGCCACAACGGCAAATGTCAGATAAAGTCCATACAAGCTTTTGAGCATACCCGTTGGCAACTAACCTTGCCTTGTACTTTTGTATAGAACCATCCAAATTGAGTTTGGTCTTAAAAGCCCATTTGGCTCCAATGGCAGGCTTGGTTGTAGGTTTGTCTATCAACTGTTAAGTTTCATTTTTCTTTATCATGAAAATCTCATTTTTCATAACTGCCTGCTATTAAAACCAAATCCATGCACCGTTATGAATGATAGAGGCGCAAATTCGAGTAACCTATAAAACAACAAACAATCGTGAGCAAGCCTAAAACCTGGGGAGGGGGAGTGAGGGGTGTGTGTGTGACGGCCAAAGACTCTTCGATGGCTAAGTTAGTGAGCAAGTATAAGACTCAAGCAGTTGACAAGCGAATTAGAGTATGATGACTGCATTACCAGAGATGAACCCTAGATGAATGTATTTATACCGGTCGGGAGATAGACTTTTTTGATATTGAATCCTTGGTCTAATTGCATCATCTTTAGAAGTGTGATTACTTGCGGCGCACACCAATTCCTGAATTGTAAAAACTCTAAGACATATAGAGGATTTTGTTGATTCCATACCAGGATTAGATCATTGTGTCTTGCATAACAAGCAAGGGCGGAGCCAAGTGCAAGCAACCTTGGGCTATAGCCTAGGTAGCTCTTGTGGGTACAGACCAATTATTCCCAATATTTCATTTATTTATATATTTATTTCACTATTAGCCCAGGTATCTTTTTTATTTATTTACTTCATTAACCAATATTATTTATTTCCTAAATAACAAAATCTATTGTACACTTCTTATATTATCCATTTATGGTTAATCGTGACAATAATTACTTACTTTTATAGTGCTTTTAATTCTTTTCAAAAGCAAC